AAAAAGAAATGAAACTGCCTTAGTATGTCAGTTAAAACGCAGTTGGTTATATATTTACCTGGGTCTTCTTATATATTCTCAGTTAAGTTCTGTTAGAGATTATAAAGCTAATATAATCAAGGCCTGTGATACTGACCTCAAGATACATCAACAGAACTACCAACTTCATTCTCCCCCCTTTCCATCCCTTTCCCTTTCTTCCTCTTTCCACCCCTTCTTTTTCATTTCTCTTCCTTCTCCTCTCTTTCACTTTATCCTCTTCTTTTTTGGAGAGAGAATCTTGCTGTTATCCAAGCCCTCGGCCTTAGACTCCTGAGCTCAGGAATCCTCTTGTCTTAGCCTCCCAAACCTTTGCATATCTGTCCTGCAAAATTCAGAGTAGGACTGAGTAAAGTCTTTGGTTGTTGTCTGATTTGATACTGCCCTACCTCTCTTTCAGCTCTGAAATCTCTTAATAATCTTGAGTATGTGGTTAGGAAGAACATACTTTAAATCATAACAGTAGACCTTTTAGAATGAGCTGAGTTGAATTTGATTCTTTAAAACTTTTTGAGGTTTTTAATTAAAAAATTTAGAGTGATATAGAACCTGTTAAACTGCCTCTGATACGATGTTCCTCTGATACGATGTTCGGAAGCAGTGTGAAGCAGTGTGGCTTACCGCTTGAAAGGTCAGATGTCAGTCTGCTGCCTTTGAATTCTAACTCAGCTATAGTAAGAATGCACTGTGACCTTGGCAAACTCTTTAGCCTCTCTGTACTTCTGTTTCCTTTGCTGGCAAGTGGGGGTAATCTGAGTACTTGCTTAATAGAGTTGTCTTCATCATCCAGTAATAGTTCCTGCCTTGTAGAAAGTGTTCAATAGATGTTAACAGCTGTCGTTGCTTTGTTCACCTGGAGAGTGTGTAAAAGCTTCACAATTTGTAAATTCACTTGGAGGAACCATTTTAAGGACTTGCTTGTAGGAACCCTCTGCAGAAATCTTTTAGCTATTTTTTTTTTCAGGAAAATATTGACAGTGGTGGATTTGATAATTTTGAATTTGTGTATCAGGAAGAAAGAAAAAGGCAAATGCACTTTTAGTTGGATAAATCATCATTATAGATTTAAAAACAAAATAACAGCAATTTGCCAGGATTTAGCTGTTTCATCAGGATTGTGATTTAGTGGTTCTAGAATAGAATTGGTTTGATTCTCTTTTGTCTATAGTCATCTGTAGTTCTTTATGTGCTGAATAAGCACATTGGCCTTTTGCTTTGTTGACTAGTTAGTTGTTACTGATGTAGCAAAACAATTTGTAGCAAATGCAGTGAGTCTTTTCTCTGTGCATTTCCTTTTAAGTAGTGGTAATCACAAACATTGTTGATTTTGTACAGTTAAACATTGATACTTTATCAAAAGACAAAATGAAAAGAAATTGAGTTATAGATTTACTTTTATATGTAATTTGGCAACATCTCTTTCTGTAACTAGAATGAGTGTTCCAGTGAGCTGAGCAGAAAAGGCTAAAGCAAGCAGAAATAAGGAACAAATTAGATTGGTCCTTTAAATCTGCTTTACATGTGTAGGATAAAGCAAAGGATTTCTGTCATATGCGTAGACTGGCTCTTTGGGGATGTGGCTGTTTGTCTTCCTGCTTTTTAGGTAGATGAGATGATGACTTCGTGATAGCTTGTTGATGGGTACTCTCATATGGTTTGCTCTGTAAAACTATGCAGATGCTTAGTCCAAGTCTGTCTCCTCTTTTACAGTTTTGTTTAACAGTTTATTTTAGTAAAAGTATTCAAACAAATCAGCAGGTGCCTGGGGTAGGAGCACAATGAACTGGACTGCAGCACGTGTTGGAAGTAAAGCTGCCGAACTTTGGAAATTGGTTCTCTTCCTGAGCTTGGAGAAGTGACTAGCTTTGATAAAGCCGTCTACTCAGTAGCAATCCTCCTTTCACTTCCCAAAGGTCTGGAAGCTCTAATCCTTTACTCGCCTGTTTGCTTTCTGTGATACCTGTTTCCGTCAGAATGGAGCTCACTAGGAGTCTCAGTCACCTGAGCGCACATTCAGATATATTAGAATGGAGCTTGCTTGTGAATATCAAAAAACTCCCCCCATCACTTAGGACATTTCTAGGGACTTAGAAACTATCAGGAACCAGGAACAAAAACTAAGCAGTATACTTTTCACTTTGTTAAAAATACACATTAAGCCCGGTGGTGGTGACGGCGGCGCACACCTTTAATCCCAGCACTCGGGAGGCAGAGGCAGGCGGATTTCTGAGTTCGAGGCCAGCCTGGTCTACAGAGTGAGTTCCAGGACAGCCAGGGCTACACAGAGAAACCCTGTCTCAAAAAACCAAAAAAAAAAAAAAATACACATTAAGCAAATTAACTACACAAATAGTGTATAATTATAAACTGTGAAAGATGTTATGGATTTGAAGTAGTGGTTGTTGTGTATTTTAAAAGGTGGACTTGCTCTCATGTGGGTACAGTTAAGGATAGATTTCCCTGAGGAAGTGAAAATGTATGCTTAAGTTAACTTACTGAGTCCAGCGTAATACGTTCGTGGTGTTGAGCTGTTTAAACTGAGGTCTTGCACTAGCTGTTGACTGGGTGAAAGCAGATTCTCAAGTAGACAGAACAGCATATGCAAATGAATACAGAGGGACTCCTGCCAGGAATCAGAGTACCTCAGGTGTAGCTGTGGAAGGGAGAGCCAGGGGAAAAAGATCATTGTCAAAAACCTTCTAGTTATTTTATTCTTCATGAAGCAAGCTTAGAATTTGTTAAGAAACACAAGCATTAAGGGAGAGAGAGAGAGATGCCAAAGAAAGGCTAGCATACAGCCAAGACATGGCTGCAGGCTTCTTGAGAGAGTTCAGATTCTAAGTTTTTAAAAATTGTTATTCCATGTCACATAGATTTTATCAACCAATTCATTCAAGTACCTTTTCCTTTCCCCTTTCCCTCTCCCTTTCTCTTCCCCTTCCCCTTCTCCTTCCCCTTCCTCCTCTTCTTCCTCCTTCTTCCCCTTCCCCTTCCCCTTCCCCTTCCCCTTCCCCTTCC